ATGCATTATGTAAAGGTACAATTCCCAATGAGAAATGTAATTGTGTTGTATACCTACAATGTACCAATAAAAGAATTTAATTTAAAAAAAGAGAAATCTCCCTAGACATATTCAACTATTTGATCTTTGACAGAGGGCCCAAAAGCATATGATGGAGGAAAGACAGACAGCCTATTCAACAAGTGATGCTGGGGAAACTGGTTATCTGTGTGCAGAAGATTGAAACTAGACCCTTATCTCTCACCATATACTAAATTAAAATAAAAATGGATTAAAGATCTAAACATTAAAATAGAAACATTAAACTTTCTGGAAATAAAATAGGTAAAACACTTGAAGACATAGGTATAGGAAAGGATTTTCTAAACAGGACCTCAATTGCACAAGAAATAGCAGCAAGAATCAACAAATGGGATTATATCAGACTAAAAAGCTTCTGTACAGCAGAAAAATCAATCAGTAGGGTGAAGAAAAAACCTACAGAATGGGAAAAGAATTTTTCCAGCTATTCCTCAGACAGAGGACTAATATCTAAATAAACAAAGAACTCAAAAAAAAATTGAAGCAACTAAAATTAAAGACCCAATCAAGAAATGGGGTAGAAAAATGAATAGACACTTCACAGAGGAAGAAACACAAATGATTATATGAAAAAATGTTCAACACCTCTGGTCATTAGAGAAATGCAAATTAAAACAAATTAAGATTTCATCTTACTCCAGAAAGAATGGCAATCACTAGGAAATCAAATAACAAATGCTGGCAAACCCTCCCACATTGTTGGTGGGAATGCAAACCAGTACAAACTTTATGCTAAGTGGTATGGTCATTTCTCAAAGAATTGAAATTAGAAATTTCACATGACCCAGTTATCCCTCTGCTAGGAATCTTCTCCAAAGAGCTTGAGTCATCATACTACTGCAATGCATGTACACCGATGTTTATAGCAGCACAATTCATAATGGCAAAATCCTGGAAGCAGCCTGTACACTTATCAACAGATGGTTGGATAAACAAAATGTGATATCTGTATGTAATGGAATACCACTCTGCTATAAAGAAGGACAAATTTGAAGCATTTGTAGGAAAATAGATGCACCTGGAAAATATGATATTTAGTGAAATAAATCAGACATACAAGCTTAAATCCCATAGGGTATCTCATTTGAGTGAGGCAAAGTACAAACAAAGAAAATGATACATGATGGGTAGAAATTGACAGAGGGACATATCTCATCCGGTAGGGAAGTGGTCCAAGGGAACAAGGATGAGGGGTGAGGAGGAGGGGAAGGAGAGGAATAAGGATGTGTCATGTGCAGGATCCTAACAATTCCAATCAATGTAAACATTGTATCCTATAACATGAGCTAAGACAAATACTATCAACAAGTACGAAAAAAGTGATAGGGGAACCAGAGGGGGGGAAGAGGATTAGAAAAAAAACCAAGCTGTAATATGTACATGTAACCACTCCCTAAGGTGACTGTAAGCTGCATGAATTGCAAACATAAACTAATAAAATAAATAAAATTTAAAAGAAATGTATCCTATGGAAATAATAGAGCAAGCTAGAAATACATCTAAACAAAAATATTTAGAATACTATTGTTGATAATAAAGAAAATTTGAAAACTATGTAAATGTCTTATAAAAGAGGAATAATGGGAAACAGTTGAGCAAATTCATAAAAAAAACTAAATGTGTGCCTACCATATGATCCAGCAGTGGTGATCTTGGGCTTTTACCCCAAAGAAATAAAAACTCATGTTCACACAAAACCCTATATATGAATACTCCAAGCAGCTTTATTCATAATGGCCCCAAACTAGAAATAACCTCTATGCTCCTTCAAAGGGTAAATGGTTAAACAAACTGTGGCACATCCATACCATGACATACAACTCAACAATAAAAAAATTTTAATTTAATTTTTAAAAACTTCTGATACGTACAAGTTGGATGACTCAAGAGAGTTAGAATTATCCCGAGCAAAACAAAAAAGCCAACTCAAGCTGTTGCACACTGTGTGATGTGATTTGTATAATGTGCTTGAAATGAAAATTATAGAGCAGGGACAGATTCGTGGTTGGCAAACGTTGGGGAGGGTGTGTGTCTATGAAGGGGAGCTGCAAGATTCTTGTGGTGATGGAATAGTTTTGTGTCTTGACTGTGGTGATGGTCACAGGAATTTACATGTGTGATACATTCGCATAGAATTAAATATACACCCATACTATGCACATAAATAAATGCGTGCAAAAAACTGGTGGAATCTGAATAAGCGTTTTGAATTGTACTGTAAATCCTGGTTTTTATATTGTACTATAGGAACACAGGATGTTACCACTGGAAGAAATTGGGTGAATACACAGAATTAATCTGTACTATTTTTTGCAAGCACTTGTGAATTTATAGTTTTTCCCTAAGTTAAAAATTTATAAAAACAGTAAGTAGATTAAAATTTTTCTATTAAAAATTATGTTTATATAGCCAGGTTAATGAAGAGGAGATCATGTCCCTGCACAGAAAGAGCAGGCTAAAAATAACTCATAAGATATAATCACATTTATGGCAAAGTATATTTATATGCACGTTCAAGCATATTGAGATATCCAGAAGACTAATTAACCAAAATGTTAATAATGTTATTTTGAGGGAAGGTTTTTTTACTTCATCTTTATTTTTTTCTGTTTTGCTTAAATTTTACACAACTAACGTATTACCTTCACAACAGAAAGAAAAAAATTTTAATGCTTAAAATTTTTTAATTTTTAAAATTATCCAGATGATAATTTATCTGGATAAAATAATATTCCTTGTGAAAACCAAATGGCATGTTGCAAAATAATATCATCCCATCCTTGCAAAAAAAATTGTACTTTTTATATATGCAAAAGCAGAAAGACACACGTGCAAGTATAAATGGTCGTCTCTTCTAGGTGGTGAAATTATGGAGCTGTTTGTACTGTATTAGCTGCCTGTATTTTCTGATTTTCCCCAAATGGTATAGTTACACATTTCTCAATTTCTGTTTACTCTTTGGCTAGTTTAAAAATTTATATCTTTCAAATGTAAACAATAAATAACACAAAAGGCTCTAAAGGCAAAGTAGTCCTCCAATCTGCACTCAACCATTTGGTGCTCAGTTAGTTGCCACAGGATACCAGTTGGTAGAGTTTTATGTATCCCAGATTTCTTCATACAAACATAAGCAAAGACGGTCTCCCCAATTTTATATTTTAAACAAGCTGACTCTACATACTGTTCTGCATTTTGTGTTTCCCTTGAAAATACATCACAGAGAGCTTTCCATAACAATATTTAGAAAGACTTCACTTTTTAACTGCATATTCTAACTTTGCAGAGATAAGCCAGAATTTAACAGTCCACTGTTAAAAGCCATTTGTAGCAGTTCTAGTCTTTTGCTCTTATAAACAGTGCAGCTGCACTTACATCATTTCCCATGCACACCAGTTCACCATGTGTCCATTTGTATATCTGGTTCGACTTTCCTAGCAGTTTCTAGAACTCTTTACATAACACAGAAAGCAGCTGTTTGTTACATGAATTGCAAATATTTTTCCTAGTTTGTCATTTGTCTTTTAACATTACATATGTTTTGTTTTGTGTTTGCTTTTATTTTGTTTGGATTTTTTTGCCATGTAGAGGCTTTTGTTTTGCTTGTTTTTGTTTTTTGAGATGAGGTCTCACGATATAGCTGAGACCAGCCTTGAACTTGCAGCAATCCTTCTGCCTTGGCCTCTGGAGTACTGGCTTACAGACATGCACCACCACTCCTGGCTTGAGATATCATTTTAAATTATTTTTATATCAGTATTTTCTCTTCAGGCATCTGAAGTTTCTAGTCACAGCTAGAAAAACCTTCCCCCATTTCAATGTTATAAAGGAATTCTCCTGCATCTCTTCTTGTACTTTCTGGTACTTTTTGGGGAGCGGGGGTTGAGACACAAGGTCTTGCTATGTAGCCCAGACTGGCCTTGAACTTGCAGTGATCCTCCTGCCTCAGCCTCCCAAGTGCTGGGATTATAGGCGTGTACCACCACACCTGGCTTCTTCTAGTACTTTTATGGCTTCATTTTCACATTGGAATCTCCAGTTCATTACACTGGCCCTGGAACATAGTGTGAGATACAGACCCAATTTTATTTTTCCCCAATGGTCACCCATTTTTCATAATACTATTTACTAAAATAATGTTTATTAACAGAAATGGAGATGTTGGAATCAGAGTGCCAGTTTCTTATTTATCTGGCTGTTGCTCATTTATGTGGCTGTGTTACCGTCTCTGGAGTCACTTGCCCTCTCAGAACCTCAGAGAAAAAATGAGGGACAAGGTTTGGGTAGACCAAGAAAGCTGCTAAATAAAAAATGCAAAGGACTTCAGATGAGAAAACCAAGGCGGCAGCAGTAGAGGACCAGAAAGCCCAGAAAAGACCTCTGCCCAACTTGTCCTGCCCTTCACAGTACTAATGGGGAAACTGAGGCCCAGCAGGCAGGTAGACTTGATCTTCAGTGTCTGCACCTGAGGACCAGGTCCGCAGGCCCTGAGCCACGCTGTTCCCAGGCAGGCACAGAGGGAAGAGGACCCTGACCCTACCTTGCAAGTGGAGAAATCAAGGCCAAAGCAGAAGTGATCCCTAACCCAGCTCCGGGGTGGAAGTGTGGTTTCTACTGCCTTTCTCAGGCACAAAACACCATCTTCACTTCTGCTTATACCCTCTAGGTGCCCTTCCTGTCCCTTGCACCATCACCCTACACCCTAAACCATCAGGCTCCCCTCCTGGTAAGTCTTTATGTGGGGCCCTCTGGGAATCAGGAATCCCTTACCTGACTTCCAAGATGGTTCCAATAGATTGCAGGGAAACTGAATACCACACAAAAGAAGGAATTTGCTTGCAGTTCTACAGCAGCCAGGTGGTCAAACTGGACTGAAACCCAGTACTCCAAACTCCAAGTCCCAGTGAGGGCTGGGTAGCTGAGCCACTGGGTGGACAAGTAAGACCCTAGTTAAGCCAACAGGGAGATGAGGAGACAGGTGAAGCATGGAACAGGGTCCTTGGAAGATGTGAATTAGTAACCAGCTCCAGTATTCAAAGCCCAGGCTGTGTGATGTTGGGCAAGGAACTTGGGTTCTCTGTGCCTCAGGTTTTCTCATCTGCACAATGAGGCTGAAGAGCCCTATTTCCCAGGGAGAGAGACTCGACCACCATTGAGCTCATCCACACTCCTGAAAGCCAAGCTCTGACCCAGGTGCAAGGCTCCGAGCAAAGTTCCTGGCCAGGAATTCATCTGTGTTACTCCCCGAGCTGATCACACACTCATGAAAGCCCACCCTGCCCCTACACATGACCTCACTGCCTCCACTAAGCTGCTGCCCCTGCCCACCACACCCCGAAGCCTCCACCCCAGGCTTCCTCCTGGCCCGGTGGGGAATGATCTTGTGGTCTCTACCAAACAGCCCTGAGAGCTGCTATTTTTCACAGAGGGGCAAATAGAGGCTGCAGTACAGACCGCAGGTAGTCCCCAGGCCCAGGCCCTGGTGCTCAGAGAGGAAGGTCACCTGGTCCAGTTTGCTGAGCACCTGATGGTCCCTCACCCATCACTCAAGGTGCAGATTACAGGACCGGTCCCATTTTACAGATGAGGAAATGGAGGTCTAGATAGGTCCAATAATTTCCCCCCGGCTACATGAGGAAGCTAAGACTTAAACCCAACACTTAATCACTCTTTTTTCTCTTTCTAATTTATTTTTTTCAGTCTATGGATCAGACCCAGAGCCTTGTGCATGTGCTGTAGCAGTGAGTTGTAAGCCCAGCCCTTTCCTTCCCAAGTTGAAATTGCCTTTTCTGATATCACAGCTCTCTACATCCCACAGATCTAGAGTTGCCGCCCAGAGTGGAAGGAGGTTGGGTCCCCAGCTTACTTCTCCCGGGACATCACGAGGCCAGTGACCACTGGGAAGGGCAGTCCAGAGCACATGGGCGTGTGGGGATGCTGTGGACAAGGACAGAGAGCTGAGAGAGAGGGAGGAGAGAGCCAGGAAACTAACCTGTGATACTGCCACTCTGCTACCCTCTTGTCTCACCCTGCTTGCTGCTTCTGCGGGAAGAAGGGGAAGTCTGAGGCGCCAGCTGCAGTAATCTCTCTGTTCACCCCACACACACTCCCACTTCTCTCCTCTCAGCTTTTTCATCTCACCGCACACCACGCCTTAGTTTCACTTCTTCTGCTGCTGCAGCAGCCCCTGCTTCCTCTGAACTGACGCCTAGGCTGAGCTCTCCTCCGTCTCCTCCTCAGGGCCCAGCACCTCCAGGGGACAACTGCACCTCCATGGAGGGGCATGAGGACTGGGCATCATGGTGCTGTGCAGGACCTAAGACCCACCCTGGCTCTGAGCATTGGGAAAAGCAATATCACTGCCCTGTACCTCAGTTTTCCCATCTGTAGAAAAGGGAGAATGGCCTCTGCCTGACCTGACAATCCACAGGACCTGGGCAAGGGCTAGCCCGGGCTGCCTGGGTTCCAGTACCAAGCCACCATTCATTGGCTGGGCAACTGGGGCCAGAAACTTAAACTCTCTGAACTTCAGTTTCCCTCCTTGTGATAGTACCACCAGGTGGGAGAAGTACGGCTGCAAAATCACCAGAAATACTTCATAAAGTTGTCACATTTCAAAGATGAGGACCCTGTAGTCCAGAAAAGACAAAGATCTGGCCCTAAGTTGCCAAGTGGCTGGGCCCTGGGAGAGAGACCCTCCTGGCAGCAGAGCTCAGAAAGTGCAGCCAGAGCAAGTGGGGTGGTAAAACAAGCTGCTTCTCCTTGAAGCAGGGTCTCCATAAGACTGTGCTACCACACTCTCTGAGGAACTCTAAGGAAAAGGGGGAGTGATCGTGTGTGTGTGTGCACACACGCGCGTGCACAGCGGGAGAAACAGGGTGTCTGCTGCCTGGGCCCCAACCAGATCCCTTGGGAAAATCGTGACTCAGGAACGTGCTCTTCCATCCCTGAGGGGTGGTAGTGGGCATGGAGATCCAGCCACAGGGAGAAAGCAGACAGGTCCCAGCATGGTCTCCTGCCTTTGTGCCTGCCACATTAGCACTGCTAGCATTAGCCCAAGCACAGCCCACAGGGAGCACTGTGCCTCTGTGGGAGAGGGCAGGGGACCTGTGTCTTAGAAGGTGGCCTGGTCCTCACCTCAGGGGCAGCACAAAGGCTGTGCTGGCCATACCCCTGCTGGGTGACTTGGGTAAGCCCTTGCCCTCTCTGCAGTCTGTTGTAGTTTTGTGGTGCTGAGGATGGAGCCCAGGACCTTGTGGATGCTAGGTAAGCACCGTACCATTGAGCTATACCCCCAGCCTTGTACTTTGGTTTTCTATGACAATGACCCAGATATTGACCTCCAGCCCTTCCTGTCTGAGGTCTCCTGGCCACCTCTAGGTTTGAACCACAAGTCACCTCCTTCCTCACACCAAGTGTAAGCCCAAGCAGCTATTCTCAGGGTCCCGGAGGACACCTTCCTCCCTCACCCACAGCCTCTCTGTTTCCCATTTGGGAGGCCAAATTGCTTAATCCTGAACTCCATATCCTGGAATTCACTTTTATGTATTCTCCTTCTCAAACACCAGGTATGGCTCCATATTGCTTTATTCCGCCAGGTGCTGTATGTGCTGGCCATATTCATGCCTACCTTCCCACTTAGTCCCAGCTGTGACACACAGGGACCTCGGCAGCCCTCTACCCACCCCCCTTGGGACTCAGCTCAAGTCCTGCTCCTCCTGGAAGACTTCTCTGCCCTCTATTTCCCGAAGAACATTCCAAAAGCTGAAGTATGTGGAAGCATGCCAGGGCCCTACTCTATACCCCAAGCAGTAGGGCCACATGCCACTCCTAGTGGAGTGTCTGCCCATGTGGGATCTACTCACCCTGGTGAGCTTTAAGGAGACTATATAAGTGGGATCCTCAATAGGTCATGAGCGCAACTGAGTCACATGGTAAATGAGTCATTTACTTTCCACTCTTTTCCAATCTTGGTTGCATTCACCAAAAGCCTTGGTTTAGGGATAAATTATCTTTAGCCTCTAACACTGACTTACGTCCTTCTAGCCCCTCCCCCAACTATTAGACATTAAAGACAAAAAATTTTTTTGCAGTACTGAAGACTGAACCCAGGGCTTTCAACACTGAACTGCAACCCTACACCCTTTTATTTTTTATTTTGAGACAGGTTCTTGGTAACTAACTAATTACTAGATATCAAAAATAAGATATCCAATTTTTTAAAATTGTGATAAATTATATATAATGTAAAATTTACCATGTTAACTATTTTTAAGCAGAGTTCAGTGGTAAGCACATAATTGTGCAACCACAATCACCATCTTCACAACTTTTTTCATCTTGCCAAAGTGAAACTGTGTATCCATTAAACAAAAACTCCACATTCACCCTACCCTAAGCCCCTAGTAACTGCCCTTCTGTCATCTCTATGAATCTGACTAATCCAGGTACCTTCTGTAAGTGGAATCATACAGTATTTATCTTTCTCAGACAGGCTTATTTCACTTAGCATAATGTTCTCAAGGCTCCTTCATGTTGTAGCATGTGTCAGGATGCCCTCCTTTTAAAAGTTGAGTAATATTCCACTGTGTGTATGTATACATTTTATTTATCCATTCAACTGTTAATGGACATGGGCTGTTTCCACCTTTCGGCTATTGTGAATAATGCTATGATCATGGCTGTAGAAACGATATCCCTTTAAACAAAGGAAGTTTCTAGACAGGTTTTAATAACATTACTCTGTTTGCATGCTATTTATTTGTATGAATTTTTTAATTTATAGTAACTAACCCAGATTTCCTATTTATCCTAGTAATATAAAATAGTCCCTTAAAATGTACATACATCCTGGGCCAGGGATTTAGCTCAGTGGTTTCATCACCTGCTGCCCAAGTGCAAGGACCTGAGTTTGATCCCTGGTAGCAAAAAAAAAAGATTTTGAGTTCAATCAAAATGTACATACAGGGCCGGGGATTTAGCTCAGTGGTTTCACTGCCTGCTGCGCAAGCGCAAGGACCCGAGTTCAATCCCCAGCACCAAAACAAAAAACAAATAAAATGTACATACAGCCTAAAAAGTGAAACAGTTTGTAGAAAAATGCCTAGTAAACAAAGGCTCAAGTGCTATATGCATTGATGGCAAAGTGGTGATGGTATGAGACAAAACTAGTGCAGGAAATGCTGACACCGCCCTCAAGTCAAGAACCTCACTGTCCTGACTTGCGGACAGAAACCCTGCTGGGGACACTGGGGAGGCTGACACCACACTAGCATGGCATTCTGATACCTGGAGTGTGGAGTGTTAGGAACAGGTGTGAAAGGGTAAAACTGAAGAGTCAGGGACTCTGAGACCCCCTAATATGACCTTTGACATCTAAACTTCCTTTTCTTCACTATGACACCATGGTAACAACACCTAGCACACGGTTGCTGTGACACTAGGTGACCCATGTGAGCAGCCCAGCCTATGGTCAGAATGCACCTTGGATCTGAGCAGGTGGGTGCCCTTCCCAGAGAAACCCCTTTCTCAAGGCAGTACAGTATTTCTTGCTTCCTTCCTTGAAAGGGCCTCACTGTGTTGAGGTTATAGCTAGAATTCAGGTACATCCTCTACCACCATCTCCTGTCCACCCCACCTTCAAAAACTGGGAAATAGCTCTGAGCTTTTGGTTCAAGACTGCCATGTACTAGCTGTGAGACCCTGTGTACATCTCGAGCCAGGAGCCTCTCTGAGCCTTCGTCTCCCTGGCTCTAAATTTTAGATGCCCTTTTCCTGAGTTCTCAAAGTCTGAATCTCTAAACTGCACAAGAAGCCGAGGCTAGCCACTGCAACATTTCTAGATTAGCAATTGTAAGTGCTAACCACACAGTTCATGTATTCCCACCAAAACTCGTCTCTGACCATTATCAGCTGCCATCAGCAAGCACATAACCAGATGTACTGAAAGTGAAACTGCATTATCTTGCAAAAAGTATGAGATTTCATGAAGTTGATGGAAGCAAATGAGGGGGAAACCAGCAGTGGATGACCACAGACAAAGAGAACATTTACAAGAGAAGTGACTGGGACCTTCCAAAAAAGAAGTGATGGGTTATCAAAGGATTCAGAGTGATCCTTGGGTTTGAGGAAGCCCTCAAATACTTTTGAAAAAAAAAAGCTGCAAAACCTCAGGTATTCATACTCAATTTTGTCGGGGAGATAGTCTTCAAATATTAACATTTGATTCATTCTTTGCTAGGTCTAATGTGTACATGATTGCAATTATAATCTAAATATTGCTAATTATGGGATGAATCTAATTTATCTTCATAGTTTTTCTAAGTAATAACTCAGCCCAGCCAAGTTCACATCTGTGAATTTTTCATCTTTTTGGAACAGATTCCCCTCAGGCAGCCTTCCTGGGGACAGGATGTGGTGTGAAGATGCCCCCCCCCCAACTAGACAGCAAACAACCTACTCCCAAGATAGGAAGCCCCCAAAGGCTGTGCACCTGGGGGGAGGGAGGTGCACGTCCCCACCGCGCTTCTTTACGCGCGTTGAGGCTGCTTTGGTCAGCCCTTTTGTTGGACAAAACGCAGTCCGGGTGAGGGCACAGACTCATTGGCTCACATCCACACAGTGGCAGCGCTGCCAGTAGAAAGAGTACAGTCAAGAAAAGTCAAAAACTTGATTCACTTGCTGAGGGGGGACCGCGGTGCCACTTGGGCGGTGGGACTCCAGGTACATCGCTGGCTCTCGGAGAACCAGAGGCGGGAAAGGTGAGCCGGCCGCCCCCGACACAGCCTTCGGTCCCCCCACCACCAGCCCCCACGCTAGGGTGGAGCCTCCGTCGGTCCGGCCTGCTCCGCAGCAGAGCCCGCCGCCCGGCCCGCGCCCGCGGCCCCGAAGTCAGGCTAGTGTCCCCCGCCTAGCCGCTCGGCTGCCCCGGTCACGGCGGGGCGCAGCTCGAGCTCTGGCCTGGGACCCCGCCGCCCCCGCCCGCTGGCGCCCTCCGTCCCCTCCCCCGGGCGGGAGGAGGAGACTCCACCGCCCTCCCTCGGCCTCCCTGCGGCGGCCGCAGCCAGCAGCGTGCCCACTCCACCCAGCCGCGGCAGCCCGACGTCCTGATCCCGGCGGCCCAGGACCGAGGTGAGCGAAGGTGGCGGCACTCGGGGCGGGAAGCCATCGCGGCCCGGGAACTCGCGCAGGCCCGAGCCACCGCCGGAGGGAGGGGGTTAAACTGGGGGGCGTGAGGAAGGAGACGGAGTGGTGGGGGCGCTCGCAGCAGCCCCCAAGCTCTGAGCAGAAGTTTCCAGCTCCCTCCCCAGGGTGCCCTCCACTCCCAGGACAGCGGGCCTCGGATGAGGAGGGGCTGCCGGGGCAGCGGGAGGCGGGAGGGGAGCTGCGGAATGCCACGGGCCGGCGCCGGACGGGAGGGGGCGGCGGGCGGGGGCGGAATGTGGAAATCTCCCGGGGGACCCAACGTGGTCACCATGGCGAATGCGGAATGGACGGGTAACACTGGCCTATCAGAGTACGGCGCCCCGCCTAGGCCGACGGCGGGAGCCAATAAGGACCGCACAATGGGGTGGGCGGCACCGCCCCCGTGCGGACCAGGAGCCCCGGCAGCCCTCCGCTAGGGGGAGCGGGGCGGCTGGGGAGGGGTTGACTAAGTCGCCACTAAGGCGACTCAGGGCCCTCAGCAGAAAACTAACTTCTGGAAGAAGTTGTCAGGTATAGAGATGGCTCAATGCGAGGAGAAAGGAGTAGGTCTCAGTTACCCCACCGTTCTGATTGTTCCAGCTGGTGGTATCTGCAAGCTTCTTCCCCACCCCCGGCTTCAGCTCCTCTACCTTAATTGGGAATACTCAGCCCCCCTTCAGAGACTTTGTCCAGTGGGATTGGTTCAAGTTGGCACAAGGACTGCTCATCTGTTGGGACAGAAGAATCTTCTTAGTGCCTTTCTCCATCCTCGAGGTAGGGAAACTGAGGCCCAAAGAAGCTATGGGCCTACACCTATCACCCAGTGCGTCAGTGGTAGAGCTAGGACTAGTGGGGTGGCTCCTATTCAAGGGCCAGTAGTTCAGGGAGCTGCTCAGAGGTGTGGCTGGGGGTCTACCCCGTGAAGGTGGCCATCACCCCCATCCCAGCCTTGCTTGTCTTCTGGGCCTAGTACCTGAGGATCCCATCTTGTAGGTGTTCCCCGGGCCAGATGCCCTTCAGATAGTCATATCCAGAAGAACAGCATCCAGTCCCAGTGCTCCTGCCCTGGCTTTCTGCGAGTGCACTGCATGGATGTGGACAAGTCCAGATGGCCACAGTTGACCCATCTGTGAAGATAGGCATTAGAATCACTGAGCTAGGGTATCTTTGTGGCACCTCAGGCTGAGATGGCTGTGCCTGGGAACGGGTCAGAGGGCAGCTGGGCTCAGGTCTAACCTGAAGACCTAACTTTCCTTCTCCCTGCCTCACAGTTCGCTCGTGGAGGTCCAGTGGCTGGAGCCTGGGCAGCAGGTCAGAAGGACAGGTGCCCACAGTTTGTGGGCTGACCAGCCTTGGGCCCTACACTTATCCAATCAGGCTGTCCTCTGTGGTTTCCTGCTGGGCTCTGCTCCCTGCCCGCAGCCAGGCTTGTGGCGGTTGGCTCACCCCAGAGCTCTACCTGAAGGATTCTGGGAGGTCATGAGGGTTTCTGAGCTTGGGGGATGGGGACAGAGCTTTGGGGCCCCCAGGCCCTCACCTGGCTCCCAGCCAGGCCTCCACATTGCTCACTTCTCTCAGTGGATATGGAGAGATGTATCTAAACATTTTGGGGACAAAACACAAAGTTGTCCCCTTTGAGTCCGTTAAGCTTCCTCAGGCAAGAAGCTAGACCCCTGAATACCACTGAGTGTGGCCTTGGCCAATCAGTCTCAGAGCCTACCTGTCTCAAATCCTGGATGAAAACTGACTTCTGATCCTTAGGATGGCACAACCCTTTCAGACTCTTTGGTAACAAGGGCACCCCCTGACATTTTTTTTTTTTCTATCAGGGATTGACCTCAGGACCTTGTGCTTGGAAGGCAAGTGTAGGCACCGCTAAATCCCTGGCCCTGAGCTAAATCCCCGACCCAGTCCCTAACATTAACACATATCTATTGTCTGTCCATCAGCCCAGTAAGCACTCACAGTATTTGTTGTATGCTGGGCCCTGTGCTGACAGCTAGAGGGACTAAAATGCCCTCCTGGACTTCACAGTGTGACCATTGCTGAAAAGCCATTGGGAACAGTGGCCTGGAGGGGAAGGGGCAGGCAGACAGCCCACTGGAGCCTAGGGTACAGTGTGAGCCAGCCTTGGTTACCAGGGCTGTCTGTGTGTGTGTCCTCGTGGCTGTGTTATGTGAGCAGGGTGGGGGCGGGGAGGTGTTGCTAGGCCGGGTCTGGCTGCCCTTGGGTCTACAAGGATGTGTGTGGGAGTCCCTGGTGTGCTGGGGGTGGGCTTCTCCAGAAACCAGTCTGAGGACCCCACCCCACTCCTTCCCTCTCACATCTGCACACAGCCCCTGGGGCCTGCAGTGGGGGGCGGCAGGAGGGTTGTTCCTGAGCCTCCCTGCTCCTACTACTCCCTGCTCCCACTACTCCCTTCTCCCCATCCCCAACCCCTAGACAGCTCAGCCAGGCAGTTAGGAAGGGGATCAGGCACTGACGAGCCTCTGGCCCTGCCTTAAGCTTGGGTGCCTGGAAGCCATTAGGGGCCTGGGTGGCGCCTGCCCTGCCCCTGTACCACAGGCTTAGGAGTCCTGGAAGGAGTCAGCCCCCCCCCCCAGCCAAGCCTCATGCCAGGCCCTGTGGTCCCAGAGACAGAAGATGTGGCTGTGGCCCCCTCCCTACCATTGTCCTACTTGAGGACTTCAGGAAGGACTCAGAAGAAGGCCAGGCCAGCTCCACTCTGCTGGCTGGCACTTGGGTTTCCTGCCTCCCCCCACCCCTCTCTGCAAGCTCACGTTGTTTTTCTTTTCCAAGAGCTTCTCCATGTGGAGCTGGGCCAGGAAAATGGGGAAAGCGGGAGTGTGAGTGTCTGTGTATCCAACAGTGTGTGCATGTATGAGTGATCTCCTAGAGATGAGTATAGGTCTCTGCTGGCCTTGTTCCTTTCAGTGTGCTGCTACTGTGTGTGTGCTTGTGTATGTGTGTCTACAGGTATGTCTGTGTCCCACAGATGAGTGTGTCCATATAGTTGTGTGTGCACATGGGTCTGTGTCTTGCATCTCTGTTTATGGGCATGGAATTGCACACGTGTCTGCAGACACATCTGTGTGTGCACAGGTCTCTGGATGCTCCTGGATTTGGAGGCCACTGCCACAGGGCACAAGCAGAGAAACTGAATCACAGAGAGGGCACTCAGCTTGCCAGGGATCCCTTGGGATGCCAGTGATGCACATAGAGTGGAACCCGGATCTGTACAGCTGCATCTGGTGACTGTTAGGCTTTACTGGGCCGCAACATGTGTGCATGTACATGTGCTGACCTGTGGGTGATAAGGCATCCCCAAATACTCAGATGTCCCCCATTGGAACTCCTAAAATGTACATTCCTAGCTGCTCGCCTATTGAACCTCACTCTGTGGGGTTGGACCAAGAAACTACATTTTAAGCAAGGGTTAAGTGACTCTGAAGCCTCCTCTGGTGAAGAAATACTGGGCTCCCTCACTCCACGCCCATTCTACAGGTGGAGAAACTGAGGCCCACGAAGGCACAGTAGTTAGTGTGGGGTCGTTGACAGAGCTGGTCCTGGATTCCATGTCTGGTGAAGACAGTAAACACCCGAAGGATAGAAAAATGTGGGTGGGTCACTGAGCAGTGCTGGGAGTCCATGAATTGAGCATGGCGCTGCTCTACTCGGTGACATACAAGCTGCAGTACTTGACTGTGCAGGTGAAGGCAAGAGCCAGCAGGGCAGAGGCGGTGAGCAAGGCCAGTGCTGCTGGAGACAAGAGCAGGAAAGGGGACGGGGCCCTGTGGGAGCTTGGGGAGGGTGGTTAGGACCCCGGGATGTGGCCGGTGGGGACAGTGCACAGGTGGTGGGGCAGTGGCTGGGCTCCTCTGGGATTGAAGGAATTGTTGGAGTCCTACAGGGAATGAGTTGGGAATTGATGTTAGAGAGGAGTCCTTGCCACTAGTTATGACAAAGGGCGATGCCACCAGCATGGGCAGGTTTGCATTTTTAAAACCCTCTGGCTGCTCTGTGAAGAATGGATTTGAAGGAGGCAAAGGTGTATAGGATGGCTTAGGCAGGAGCCAGGTAAGGAGTAAGGGACCTGGGAGTGGATGCCAGCAGCACTCCAGGGCTGAGCCCCAGGGGGATCCTGCCCCAGACCAGAGAGGCTTCTCCTATGGCGCAGGGGCATGGCAGGTGCCACCCAGGCCCCTAATGGCTTCCAGGCACCCATGGGCCTGAGAGCAAGGCATCCTGGAAAAGTGACATGGAATCAGGAGCGACAGTGTCTTCCAGAGCAAGAGCACACACAGTTGCATGGGGCTGGAAGCCAGCCTGGCACTGGTGGCCAGGTGAGAGAGGAAGGGCAGTGGTAGTGTGGGCCATGGTGGATGGGTTGTGAGAGGGAAAAGTGTGGGGTGCACCAGGGAATGTGTGGGGAGGTAGGCTCCCTTTTCACTTAGATCACCTGCTCACACTGATGGGGAGGGTCGCTGGGCAGTGGGAGCCAGCCAGGCAGCCCTCTGGTGGGAAGGGTCCCGCCCACAGTACACTAGTCACTCAAAAAGGGCTGCAGCAGGACTGAAGTTCAAGACCCACCTGGACAACTTAGCAACTTAGTGAGACCCTGTCTCAAAAACTAAAATAAAATTTTTTTAAAAGGGTAAGGATGCATGTCAGTGCGAAGGCTCTGGGTTTAATCCCCAATACCAGGGTTGGGGGTAAAAATGTAGATCTTCAGAGCAGGTGTGAAGATCCACGGACCAGGGCTGAGCCCGATAGTAAAGGAATGGTTCTAGGTGGAGGGGATGTCTCAGATGAAATTTGAGGACGAGGGGAGCTAGCCAGTGGGAGGGAGCCATGTGGAGGTGAGTGTGTGGCCTGGTGCTGTGAAGGGTAACAACAGCAATCATGCTTTCAGATCTCCCTGGATACCAAAAAAGAAGGAATTAGAGGGGCTCTGAAGGCCCTGGCTCACTTGCTCACCTCTAGGGAGCGGCCCTGGAACCTCCCTCTCTCCTCCCGGCTCTGTCTGTGCTGTACCCTCTGCCACCCGTGCATGGCCGATCTTACGGACTGGGACTGTCGGTGACCACAGCCTAAGAATGGTTGTGTTCTCCCGCAGGTCCGACGAGGCGTCCCCCACCCGGTGGCCAGGAGAGCTGTGGGGCGCAGTTGCCACCATGCCACGGAGTATCGCGCCCGCACCGGGTTTTCTCCGCTGCCCTTGAGCCCCGGCTGCGAGTTCGAGCCTAGCGCCCACCTGCCTGCGCCATGAGCCACGGACCGAGCCCCCGGCTGGCGGAGTCCCCGCAACTGTCTAAGGGCAGCCTCCTGACCATACTGGGCAGCCCGTCACCCGAGCGCATGGGGCCGGCCGACTCGCTGCCGCCCACGCCGCCCAGCGGCACGCCTTCGCCTGGGCCCCCCGTGCTGCCCTTGCCGCCACCGCCTGCGCTGCTTGCCGACGGGGACTGGGAGAGCCGCGAGGAGCTGCGGCTACGGGAGCTGGAGGAGGCGCGCGCGCGGGCGGCGCAGATGGAGAAGACTATGCGCTGGTGGTCAGACTGCACGGCCAACTGGCGCGAGAAATGGAGCAAAGTGCGAGCCGAGCGCAACCGCGCGCGCGAGGAGGTGCGCCAGCTGCGCCAGCGCCTGGACGCGCTCACCAAGGAGCTGGCGGGCGCGCGGCGCGAGCGCCAGGAGGCACAGGGCGAGTGCGAGGCGCGGGGCCGAGAACTGGCGCGGCTGCGAGGTGCCCGGGGCGTTGCGGACAAGACTCAAGACGGCCCTGAGCCTGACGCCGCCGAACGGGAGCACGAGCCAGTGCGCGACATCGGGTCGGAGAGGCCGCAGGGCAGCCAGGTGCGTACGGGCCGGGCTGTGGGGGTGGGGAGGACGGTGGCTGTGGTGCCAGGCTGGCGCAGGGCGAAATCAGGCCCCAGCGGATCCGAAGGAAGCTAGTAATGGCCCAGGCCATCAAGGAGGTTCCGCTCCTCCAGGTCAGACTCAGCCCCACCGCAGGGGCGCAGATTGCCTCCCTTCTGGAGACTCCCCAGGATGAGAATGCAGGTCCCGGTGGTCCCAACAGCCCAGCCCTGAGAAGTCAACAGAATCAAGGACTCGTCCCCTTTGGGTAGGAGAGGGGTCCGACTTCTCTGGAAGTCAGGATTAGTAGCCACAGCTGAATCCAATTCATTTGTTCAGCTTGAATGGGGCGGGAATCCCTAGGAGCATAGAGGAGGTGCCTGGCCCCAGGCTTTGGCTGAAGGGACGCTTTCCTAGAAGAGGTCACGTTTAAGTAGAGACTGGGTTAGTAGGAATTAGCTGTGGAAAGTGCCCGAAGGCATTCCAGGGCAAGGAAGTGCCAGAGCCCAGAGACAGAGGACCACACTAGTGGATGTCCCCACCACTAAGCCCTATGTGTGCATTGTCTTGTTAGCCCCCACCAACACTCTCTGAGTCACGTGCTTGAGGACTGAGGCATAGGGAGAGTCCTGAGCCCCATCTGAGCTAGTGACAGGAGCCGTCGGGATTTAGGGTGGATGCAGAGGACAGCCCCGTTGAGCCAGCAGGCCTGTCATCAGAAGGCCACCTGGGGCCGGGTCCAGCTCAGCTCTAGCTCTTCCAGGTGGGACTCTTGGCTGCCCTTCCTCCAGCCCAGCCCCGACCCTGCCACTGCTGCCCCCTAGGGGCTGAAGCTTGCTTTTCTTCCCTGATCGCAAGGATCACTCAGTGTTTGGAGGAGGTCTTCCCTGCTCCTGTTCCTGACCTCCTGTCCTTGTTGTCTTCACAGTAGGAAGAGCCCTGGTTCAGCATCTGGGTTTGCACTCCAGCCCTGTTATTTCTGTGCTCTGTGGCCCAGTACGAGTCTCTGTCCTTGTGTCCCCCTTTGTGAAGAGGGACTTTGGACCAGATGGCATCCAGGGTGCCCCTCACTGGACAATCTGAGATACAGGAGGTGGAGGAGGTGGTCACTCCTCCAGGATTACTCAAAGCCACCAGTCTCCTCATGCCTCAGTGTTTGCCCCTGAAAAACAGGATCATAGAGCTGGAATTCCTTGTGAGGGAATCTGGTCCTAAGCCATGGTAGGAATCTGTGCTTTGGTATGTGTTTGCATACTCCCAGTGACAGGGAGCTCACCACCTCTTCTGAGGACTCTTCCAGCATACAGGAAATCTTGGTAACTGACGCTGCATTCCAGGAGGTGAAAGGGGAGGCACAGAGTTAGAAAGGCAGACAGCAGAAGAGGAAACGAGGGTCCACAGGCACAGTGGGACTTGCCAAAGGTTACCAGCAAGTTGATCCTAGCCCAGGGGCGGCAAGGGTTCACAAGGAAGGTCACCAGAGTGACAGCATGGCAGACACTGGTACAGACTCCTCCTTGGTCCCTGCAGGAGCTGGAGCTTGTGGAGACCCTGCTGAAGAGCAGACCAGAGGAGCCAGAGGGCTGCTGGGAGGCACGCAGCGTGGGGTCTGGGGGCCCACGGGGCAGCTCAGGCCGCCAGGAGCGCAGCCGGCTCCCCTGGGAGGACACAGCTGCCACTGAGGAGGATGCCTCCAAGTTGACCGCCCTTCGGCTTCGGCTGGATGAGTCCCAGAAAGTGCTGCTCAAGGAGCGAGAGTGAGTCTCAAAGGGCAGGCAGGGGGCTGGGGCACCCTCAGAACTCCAGAATACAAGTCAGAGTCACCAGACACAAGATCCGCCAGGGTACATGTGCTACCCCATGCACGCTTTTTGATTTTTGGGTTTTTTTTCTAGTACAGGGTACTGCACCCAGGACCTTCACAATGACCTACATGCCCAGCCTGTTTTTTAATTTGTTGACACAGGGTCTCACTAAGTCTCTTAAGTTGTTCAGGGTGGGCTCAGTCTTCCTGCCTCAGCCTCCCAGTGTTGTGATTATAGGCATGTGCCACCATGCCCAAACCAAGATTTTTAAAATTTGCTCTACTAATAAGTCTTGGGCATCTGCTCTGGGCCAGGTGCTGGCTCCTTCATGGCGCTTGTGTTCTGGCAAAGGAGGGTGTGGAGGGCAGATGTAAAAGCAAGGGAGCGGGTAGGGAAGCTGGAGGATTGGGGGTTGGCAGTGTTGGGTTTAGCAAGGAGGCAGTTGAGTACATAAATGAGTCTGAGTCTAGAGGTCAAGAGACAGGTCTGACTGAAGGTAAAATGCAGGAGTCATCAGCCAGCAGGTGATACAGAAAGCCAGGAGGCAGTGAGGTCGGAGGATGGAGCCCTGGTAGCAGCTTGGTTTAGAGGTTGGCTAGAGAAGGGGGAAGCATCATAGGAGACGGGAGTAGGGAGCCAGTTCCAGGGAAGGGGCAACCAAGGGAAAGTGTTTCATGGCAGACAGAGCAGTCAGCTGGTCAAGTGAAAAGAGGACCGAGTGCCAACCACTGGGCTGATGATGTGGAGGTCACAGTGAGCTTGGTCAGGGCAGCGCAGAAGGCACAGCCTGATGCTAATGAATATTCTGCAGCTTTGCTGATCAGGAACTACATAGTCTAATTTAGCCACACACATGATTTTATTTTTAAAAACCAACACAGGGACTGGAGCTGTGCTTGGCAGTAGAGGGCTTCCCTAGTGTGCACAAGGCCTTGGGTTTGATCCCCAGCACTGCAAAAAATTTTTTTAAATGATGCCCTTGTGAAGGTGAAGGTCAGGGTAATGCTTCTCTGGCCAAGGAGCACCATGATGGGCAGCAAACCACCACCAGAGGCTGACAGGGCAGGGGAGATGGGGCGTGGAACAGGTTCTTTCTCACAGCTGGAGATGGGACCTCCTGCCAGCACCTCATCTAGGACCTGTAGCCCAGAACTGTGAGAGAATAAATTTCTGCTGTTTGAACCAAAAAAATAAATAAATAAACCTAATGCACTGAAATGAAAGTATTTGCCTGTCCCTCCCTGTCCTCTCCTCAGGGACAAACTGGCACTGAGCAGGAACATTGAGAGGCTGGAGGGGGAGCTGAGCCAGTGGAAGATCAAGTATGAGGAGCTGAGCAAGACCAAGCAGGAGATGCTCAAGCAAGTGAGTCTGGAGACAGGTGCTTCCTAGAGGCGGCAGGAGCACACTGCTGAATGTCAGCAGTGGGGACGGGAGAAGATGGAATTCACTCACTCAGTGGTGGTTTTGTGCGCTGGGGTGAGCTTCAGGAGCTCATTTTGTAGAGGCTGGGATTGGACAAATGACAGTGACCGGGGAGGAAAATCCTATTTGTCACAGAGAAGCATTCTGAGAGAGATGGGGTAGTGGGCCAGAGAAGGCCTCTCAAAGGAGGTAACGTTTGAGGCAAGACCTAAAGGCGTGAGAAGAAGCCATCTTTGAGAAGGTACAGGAGCAGTGTGTTCACAGCAAATGCAGAAGTCCTGAGGCAGGAGAAAACTTCACATATGCTGGACACAGAAAAGGACACTGTGGCTGCAGAGTAGTAATGGGTGAGAGGTGAGGTCGCAGCAGGGCTGGATTTCACAGGACCTTGCGACCAGGGTGGAGGAGGAATCTAAGTTGTGACATGCCTTGGCTACCTGCTTTGTGCTAGATGTCACTGCAGCCTTGTGGCAGTCAAGAGAGCGGGGTCCTCACATCCTAATCTTACAGATGAGGAAACAGGCCCCAGAGAGGGGAATCCTCCTTGCATGGAGGGCTGGCTGCCTCTTCTGTCTCTTGTGCCAGCCACATGGCCACCAGGGGGCGCGGCCACCAGGGGGCGCAGCCACCCGGGGAAAGCCCGACTGGATTGACTAGGTGTCTAGGAGGTGAGAGCTGAACTGGCTCTGGAAACTAGAACCTCCCTGAATCATCCATCATCTTCGGGCATGGGGTGCTGGAACCCAGCTCTTTAATCTTTTCAAAGTGTGAAGTATAATCATTTGAAGAAAAGTGAATGAAACACGAATATGCAGCTCAGCAGAAAGTCATGTCTCTTTTGTACCTGACATCTTTCCTCCACATTCTGTTTAGAAGACTCACCCGTGTGGCTGCATGGAGCAACAGCTCACTGGGTTTTGCCACTGTTATTTAAAAAGCACCTGAGCAGTTCCAATGCACCAGCTTGCGGAACAGTCCTTAGCTCAGGGCTGTGGACTAAGGGTTCCTCTATCAAGGCCCTGTGGGACACAAAGATGCCAGACAGATGTGTGTGTGTGTGTCCCCCAGCTTGCATTCTAATGGGCAGAGCGGTGACCACAGGAGAGGCCTCCCTGGGAGGGTGCTGAGGGTGTTCCAAGATGAGAGAACCACATGTGCAAAGGCCCTGTAGTGCGCAGGAACTTGGTGTGTGTGCAGAATACAGAGGAATCCACACAGCCCGGAGCACAGTGAACTAAAGAGGAAAGAGGATGAGGATGAGGAAAAATAGGAATCTGATTGTGCGGGGCTTTGTGAGACCATAGGAGTTGGGTTTTATTCCAGGGCACCTGGGAGCCATCAGAGGGGCTTTTGGTGTTAGGGGGAGATATAGATTGAATTTATCTTTTATAGACACTCACAACGAGTTGCTGATGTGATGACAGGGGCAAGAGTAGACACGGTGAGGGGAGCTAGATGTGGAAGAGGAGGGAGGTGAGAGACATCTGAGGCAGCAGAATGCCCGGAGTCAGGTCTGCACTAGACCCCGGGTGCCCCACCCCTACACCAGTGCCCTCCCCACCTCCCAGAGCTGGTTCTGGGATGTATCTTGGTGGTCTTCATGTAACCTGGCTGGCCATGTCCTCACAGCTTAGCATCCTAAAGGAGGCACACCAGGACGAGCTGGGCCGAATGTCCGAAGACCTAGAAGACGAGCTGGGTGCGCGGTCCAGCATGGACAGGAAGATGGCTGAGCTGCGGGGCGAGGTGAGGTGGTCAGCAGGACGAGGGGGAGGGGGTTGGATTGGGGGGCCCAGGGCCCCACCTCCATCAGCTGGTCACTGGGAGGAGGGCAGGAGCCAAGTCTGGGCTCGGAGGGTGCTCCCATCTGCAGGGGGCCGCCCCTTCCCCACACAGGACCCAGAAGGGCCTCACATCCTGCACACCATGAAAGAAGCCCAGCTTAATTATAGCAGCTGCAGCTGGGTCTACTTCCTGGAGCCAAAAATGGCTCCAGGAGGGGGGGGGGCCAGCCTGGCCCTCGGCGCCCCCTCCCCCGGAAGTCTCACTCCATCCTGCCTTGTTGCAGATGGAGAGGCTGCAGGCTGAGAATGCAGCAGAGTGGGGCCGCCGAGAGCGACTGGAGACTGAGAAGCTGGGCCTGGAGCGGGAGAACAAGAAGCTGAGGGCACAGGTCGGGGACCTGGAGGAGGCGCTGGCCCGGCGGCGGCGGCAGACAACCAGCGCCCTGGACTGTGACCTGCGGGCCAGCCAGGCCGCACTCTTTGAGAAGAATAAGGTGGGCAGGGAGTACAGCGGCCGGGGCCTCCCCGTCCAGCCCCAGCAGGCCACCTACTGTGTGCCAGGCCCGCTGGTAGATTACAGATTAGGACTCCCTAATCCAAAACTCTGCAATCTGAAAGGATCAAAAATCCAAAAGTTTGTGAGCACCAGCATGATGCTTCAAGTGGACCTTCCACACCTGACACACGATAGATCACAGTGGAAATGCACATGCACTAAGAATATTGTATAAAGTTATCTTCTGCCTCTGTGTCCAAGGCGTACATGAATCATAACTGAGTTTCATGTCTAGGCTTGGATCCCATCCACCAAGTATTTTATTATGCAGGTGAAGGTATTCCAAAAATCCAAAAAACTTGAAATCCAAAACACTTCTAGTCCCAGGCATGTCGGATAAGAGATGCTCAAGCTGTAGCTACATTTATTGAGCACCTACTATGTGCTAGGCTGTCTGGTAATACAGCATTTATCAAGCACCACCTGTGAGGTTAGGCTCTGTGATAATTATAGTAGCTGCACGTATTGAACACCTGCTGTATGCTGGGGAAACAGCAGTGAACAGACGTGGCCTCTCTCTCCTCTCCTCATGGAGCTGATGGCTCGAGGGACCTGGAGACTGCTGTCTCTGTCACACATGCTTGTACTGATCACATGACTCCATGGTTGTCACAGGAAGAGGGAATAGTGAGGGTTTAGCCTACATCCAGGGTCCTGGAAAGGCTTCCTGGAGGGAGCAATATTTGACAGTAAGTGCTGGTGGCCTCGCTTGGGAAGGGAGAAGAATGAGTGAATGTCCCATGGGAGAGGACGTGGGGCTTTGGAGAAGCAAGAAGGCCGGCCAGCATGGCTGTCTGGAGGCAGCAAGGGCTGATGAAGACCGGGACCGGGCTGGGCTTGGCAGAGATGTAACAAAGGCTGGACTCAGGAGACTTCTAGGCAACGTCATCCCCACTTCACAGAAAAACGAACAGATCCCAGAGCTCAGGGCTGGGCATTTCCTCTGTTGGCTGCTGCCCCTCTTCCCAGCCACTCTGACCTCTGATCTCTTTCCTCCCATACCCACTCCTCAGCTTAGTTTGTTCCCAGACCCTGCACCTCAAATGCCAGGCATTTGTTACCAAAGACCGCAGACCTCCTCCCCCACACAAATCCTGCCCCATCTCCAGCTGCATGCTCGCATCTCAGTGACATATCCCAAGTGGAGCCACCCTCCCATCCTTCTCTCTTGCCCCCTGAGCCTTCTCACCCCAATAAGTGGCACCTGCAGCCCCCAGCCACTCCCCAAATCTTAGTGTTGGTGTTTTGGACACCAGGGGGACCATCCCAGGGAGAAGAGACACCCAGCATCCCAAGTGCTGCCTGACCTATGGGACTCCCTGGCGTGGTGCCCAGGTGGCACCGAGTCCTTCCTGTCTGCCCCCTGCAGGAGCTGGCAGATCTGAAGCACGTGCATGGTAAGCTGAAGAAACAGTTCCAGGAGAAGGTGGCTGAGCTAGCCCACACTAACCGGCGGGTGGAACAGCATGAGGCTGAGGTGAAGAAGTTGCGGCTGCGGGTGGAGGAGCTCAAGAAGGAGCTAGCCCAGGCCGAGGATGAGGCAAGTGTCCCCATAGGTCCAGGGGAGCAGCCTGCAGGGCCACCCAAACTCCATGCTGGGACCACAGCTGACAAGGCTGGACTCCCAGGAGGCACCCGGGTAAAGGAAGCCAGTGGGTGGCAGGTGGTTGCTAGGGTAGGTGTGGGGCAGGAGGAGGGGGAAAGGTGACCAAAGTAAGAGAGTGGGCGAGTAGATGAATGGATGAATGGGAGGGTGTGGAGACAGTTGAATGGAGGACAGAAGGGGGACTCCATGGATGAGTGAACAGATGGATGCAGGACTAGGTGGGCAGGTGGACAGGAGAGGGAGGGAGGGAAGGAAGATGGATGAATGAGGTGTAATGGCAGATGTCTGCTGGCTGGAGGGAGAGATGGGTGGATGATGGGTGTACAAACAGATGGAAGACTGGAAGGGTAGACAGTGGACAGATGCACAGACAGCAGACTGTAGGAGTGTGTGGAAGAATGAGTGCAGAGGGAAGGGAGGACAGAGGGCTGGGGTCACGGGGGTCAGGTGAACAGGCAGATGTGTGGGTGTTGATTGGGTAATGTGTGGTGAGAGTGGGTGAGTATCTCCATGGGCAGACAGACTGAGACTGGTGGGAATAGGTGGTAGGTGGGTGGGCAGCTGGATCAGTGATTCAGGGCATTGGGGGATGGGTAGTTTTGAGGGGACACGGCAGGGACAGAGAGGAAGGAGCAGAAGGAATGCTACTTGGACAAGGTGGCTTTGGCTAGGCCTCAGGAGCAGAAGCCCTTGAGGGACACGGTCTCAGAGTAGAGCAGGAGGAATAGCTGGGCCCCCACTGTCCCTGCCCTGGTGACCCACATGCTCTTGGTCCTGCTCACCCACAGCTGGACGAGGCCCACAACCAGGCGCGGAAGCTGCAGCGGTCACTGGACGAGCAGACAGAGCAGAGTGAGAACCTGCAGGTGCAGCTGGAACACCTGCAGTCCAGGTGGGCCATGGGGATGTCTGCAGGGGAGTGGGGGCATTCATGGCCCGGATGTTGTCCAAGAACCTTCTGTTGGAGATGGAGCCCCCAAGAGGGCCAAAGGGAAGGACGGAGAAGGAAGAGAACCTGGGGCCAGAATCCTGTCCCCTCCAGGCAGGAAGGACTAGGGCCAGGAAACCAGGAAGGCGGGTCCAGGAAGCTAGACCAGCTGGGGAACCTAGAATTGTCTTATCTAGCAGGCTAGGGGGCAGCCAAGGAGGTCAGGCCGAAGACGTGGGGCAGCACTCTGGGAGTCGTTGGCAGGAAGAACCAGCAGCCCTAGTCTGGTCAACTTAGTGACTTAGCAAGACTCTGTCTAAAAATTAAAAATTTAAAAAAGAGGGCCAGGGATTTAGCTCAGTGGTTCTACCACCTGCCTCGCAAGCGCAAGGTCCTGAGTTCGATCCCCAGTACAAAAAAAAAATTTTTTTAAAGGGCTGGGCATGTAGTTCAGTGTGAGTGCCCTGGGTTCAATCTCCAATACTGAAGAAAAAAGCAGTTCCCAGGGGTGTAGGCCTCCAGTGACCCAGGACATCAGGGATCTGGAAGGCAAGGAATGGCACAGGCCTCACCAGATTGGCAGGCCAACCCCTCAGCTGCTGAGCATGGCAGCTTCCGTGGCAGAACCAGAGAGTCTCTGGTTGACCCACCCTACACACTCCACCTACTCTGGCCCTCTGTGAATTATGCCTTTTCTCTGTACTTCCCCTACACCAGGAGATGTCAGAGAACTTCAGGTCTGCGCCCCTACTGCACAGCTGGGAAGCCCTGGGCATCAGGCCCCAGCACTGACCAACTTCCCTGTACCCAGCTCTGGCCAAGCCCTTGCCTGCCTTTCTTACCTCTGCAGCCAGACCGCCTGGGTGGTCTTGGGACAGTAAACAGCTCTGGGTCAGTTCCCCATCTGTAAGATGGGGATGATAATAAATCTCACCTCTTGGTCATTGTGAGAATTAAATGAGCTGATTCATGCTTATAAAAGTATCTGAAAGGCTGGGCATGGTGGTATACACCTGAAATCCCAGCACTTTGAGACTGAGTTAGGAAGATCACAAGTTCAAGCCCAGCCTGGGCAACTTAGTGACTTAATGAGACCCTGTCTCAAAATAAAAAATAAAAAAAGGGCTGGAGCTGGGGGTGGCTGGGCTGTTGTTCAATGGTAGAGCACTTGCCTAACATGCACAAAACACTGGCTTCCGTCTCCATTAATGGAAAGAAAGGCAAGAAGAAATTTTAAAAAGGAAACGGGGGCCCCTAGGGATATAGCTCAATGCAAAAGCCCTGAGTTCAATCCCCAGTACCACAAAAAATAAAAATTAAAAACCTGCCATAAATGCTGAGTAATTGTCAGCTGGTATAGCTGCTGTCACTATTGCTGCCACTGCCATTGTTGCCACCCCTCGGGAGGGGTTTAGGTTGGGTTAGAACTGTGCTACAAGCAGTATGCTCCTTCTGTGAGCAAAGGGAAGGGAGAGATCTTTTCTCTAGCTCATTGGCAGACAAGGAAACTAAGGCCCAAGAGGGAAGGTCCTTCCACAGCCACACAGCTGGATCCCCTGGCCTTGAGCACCTGTATTTGCTCAGCGTTTACTAAGTGCTGCTGTGTGCTGCCATGTTCTGGTTAGGCATACAGTCTCAGGAGCTAGACTTGTGGTATGGTCAGCTGCACCCCGGTTTCCCTACCTGCCTAAGATGATGGCTATAAAGTGTTGTGCAGGGGCCCAGCCTTGGATCTCAGTCCAGCGGCAGAAGCTCCTCTGGAGGCCACTGTGTCTAGGGCTGTCCCCCAGTCTAGGCCACATTGTTCAGGAGCCATAAACTCCCAGATCCCCAGCACCTCCAGTAAGGAGGGTGGGGCCACCTAGACCTCCACCTCCTTGTAGTTTCCAGTGTTTTGTGCTTTACTGATTGTTAGAGACGGCTCACTAAATCACTGAGGTCATGGAGGCGTGCGCCCCTCCCTGCCATGTTAATAATTCATACCTTCCAGTAAGATGCAGCAGGGGCAGCCACTTCACTGGGGCCGGGGGGATGGGTATGTTCCCCGCCAGCTCCACTCGGAGTCTGAGTTTGCTTCCTGTGTTTTGGCTTTAGGAATTTTAATACGGGGAAGATAGGGCCTCAGACCACTCCCCAACACCAGCCCTTGCTTCCTCTGCCCTTGGAACAGGACTTTAGGCAGGTCACTCGACACTTCTTTGGGTCTCAGTGTCCTTGTCTGTAAGTTGGTATGACAGTAGCTCCTGCCTCATATAAGCAGAAGTCATGAAGAATGTCTGGCACCTGGTAAGCACTGGGGAGACTGTAGCTGCTATCGGCACAGCTGCAGCCATGTCATCAGGAGGTGGCAGGGCCAGACTCCTGCTCTAACCTCTTGTCACCCCTGCCCCACAGGCTCCGCAGGCAGCAACAGAATGCCCCCCTTTTCGGGAAGATCCGCAGTACCCGCTTTGGCACCGAGGAGGCTGGAGATGGAGCCAGCGACCTGGATGAGGACGAGGACCTGCAAATCCAGGTGGCCTAGGGCCTCCCAGGGCTGGACAAGACTGGCCCGAAGCCACAGGCCCCCAGCTGGCCAGCCCTTCAGACTGATGCAGCTGGCTGTGCTCACTGTGGTGCCCAACTCTTCTTCCTTCTCTCCCAAGAGGGCATGGGAAGCCCCGCCCCACTCTACTACTCCTATGGAAGGGAAGCTTGTTTTATAAATATAAATATAAATATATGCACCCAGGGCTGCTCAGACCCTTTTGATTTTATAGACAAAGGACCGCTCAAGGCCCAGTCCAGGGGACCCCAACCAACCGGACTTCATGCAGGGTGGGCCAGGTCTGGGGAGCTTGTGAGGGCCCCAGTCCAGAGCCCCTTGCCATGCCTTGGTGATCTGGCAGGACCTGTTCATAATACAATGTGATAAACCCAGGCTTCTGTAATAAATGGAGTTCAAGTTCTTGAGCAGAGTCCTGAAACCATAGCAGATATGGGGGCAAGGAAAGGGGATCAGCAGCAGCCTGTACCTGGCACTGAACTGGAGCTGAATGAATGAATGAGCATCGGAGCTGCTGAGGCATTTGGTATCCAGCTCCTATGAGGGGTAGGAAGAGGTGTGGTGCCCATCGAATCTGGAGAAGAGGAGATTTGAGTTCTAGCACTTGATGGATTCAAACCTCTGCTCTGCCTCTTACTGGCTGTGTAACCTCAAGGAAGTTGCTTGCCCTCTCTAGTCCCATATTCTCCTGATGTTGGTTTAGATGTCTGATAGAATAGTCAGAAGAGCTAGATGCGTTCCTCCAGAGCTCAGTAGAGGTGAGTGAATATCAGAGTACCTGGAGGTCCTGAGCAGGAGCAACAGCATGGTGGGCCCAGGAGATGGGGAGCTGGCCCAGAGGCAGGGGTGGCTGCTGGGAATGAGGAACCCTTTTCCTCAGCCTTGCTCTGGTAGTGGAACTACAGGAAATTCTATTTTTGATGTTTAATTTCTAATATTCCTATAATCAGATTTATATCAAATGGGTGTAAATGGTTATTAGAAACAGCCAGCCCAGCCATGGTGGCTCACACCACTGTTACTCCAGAGGCTGAGGTAGGAGAATCACAACTTCAAGTCCACCCTGGGCAATTTAGCTAAACCCTGTTTCAAAATTTTAAAAACTGGGAATATAGCTCAGTGGCAGAATGCCTAGCATCCATGAAGACCTGGGTTCAATCCCTAGTACCACACACACACACACACACACAACCCACAGCAGACACTTTCACATCTTTCCACATCAAGGTGACATTCAGGGCACCTGGCCTCCTGATGAGGCACTTCAGATGTGCTCTGACACAAGGCCTGCTTCCTGCAGGAGGCTTTGTCAGGGTCCTAACAAGCAGAAGGTGCTAAGTTCTCCTTGTGCAGGAGTGTGTGAGGGGAGGCTGGGGCTTCAGCCTGGTAGCAAAGAAGAGTTAACTACAGTTGGTACAGGGGCTCCCTGCCAGAGAGGTACTAAGTGATGTTCTCTTGACATGGCTGAGTCATAAAGGTCCCTCGAGGCCACAGGGCAAGGACACCAAGAGCCCTGGGAGCTGAGAGAAGGGGACAGACTTGAGCACAGGAGCCCAGCTGGGAGCCAATAAAGAGCCCTGAACATGTTCTCGTTGCTAAGACTCCCTGGCGATGCTAATGGGGTGAGCCTTGCTGCCATGGCAAAGGGTCCATGTCCCCTCTCCTGGGCTCCAAGAGCAAAGGAGCCAGCCATGAGGACTCCCCCTAGATGGCTTTTTCCCCCAGCAGCCTGAAGAAAAGCCAGCATTTCCTGCCAGGGGTCTTTCTGTTTTCTCTCTCAAACAGGAAGTTGGCCTGGGAAAGGCTGAAAGTGCTGCCCTTTGACCCCCAGGAGCTAGGCGCCAGGCCCTCCCTGACAGCAACCCTGAGAGCCACTTCCCCAGGACTTGCCATTCCCAGACACAGAGCAGACCCTGTCCTGGCTCCCCCAGACTCCCTGGCACCTCTGGTGAGATAGCCCTGAGCAGGGGCCTCATTACAGCCCCTATCTCCTGGCCGAGCTGAGTGTGAGAGCCTCAGCCAGGAGAGGAGCTGGCCTCCCACCTCCACTTTCCCATGAGCAACATACCTCCGGAGGGGGCACAGCTGCAGAGGGGCGTGGTGATTCCCAGCCTGGAATGCGACTGCTTTCTTGCTCACAGCCCTCCAGGACTCCGCTTTACCTACAGCGAGAAAGTCACCCAGTGGTCGTCTGCAGCATCTGCCAACGGAAGCATTAGCCTTGGCTCACATGGTGCTTTTTAAAAATCTTTAATGCATCACTAATATTAGTAATGGGAAGTTTTCACATCAAAATGTGGGTTTCCCTCTCCTGAAACATCAGCACCATTGACCACGTGGGACTCAGGCTCCCACATGGCCACAGCTGCCTGGCTGGGAGCGGAGGGGCCTTGGGACGTGGCACAGTCCCACCAGTCCCTCTGCACCCAGCTCATTTAAATCGCTGCCCCACCCTGGAGTGCTTGAGGGCATTTCCTCATGCCCGGTCCAATTTCCCTGGGGGGGAGGTGAGTGACAGAGGGGAGGCACTGAGCCTGGGTCAGTGCAAGTTGTGGCCGGGCTAAGCACCCGTCACTCACAGGCTCAGACCTCCCGTGGGCTTCTGTCATTGCAGGATGACCACCCGGAGCATATGTACTGAGCTACAGCGGTGTCACACATGTGGCCTCGTCTCATCAATCGTTCCCCATATAGGGGCCACCGTCACTGTCCTATTTTATGCTCCATCCAGAGGCTCAGAAGAGGCGAGTGGCTACCCCAAGGTCACATAGCTGATCAGTTGTGCTACTGGGATCCCAAGTCAGGTTGTCTTGAGTCCAGAACCCACCCTCCCTGCCTCTCCAAGGCCAGGCCCCCATGACTCCTGCTGTGGCAGCCACAAGCACTCCATTTCAGCACATATCCTGCAGCCGCAGCCAGGCTCACTCTTCACTGCCACTCAGAACTGTCCTTCCCCCATCAGAGTCCCTGCAAAGCTTGGCCTGCTCTATTCATTCTCAAGGTGTCCATGGGCTGTTTACCTGTCTGCTTCTCCTGCCCTACCAGCTGTTCTTGGATCCTAGCAGCCAGCACAGAGCCCTGGGCCTAGTGGACATCTTTAAGTGTAGGGAGGGAAGAAAGGAGGGAACGGAGAAGGAACTGCAATGGATGGAGGAATGATGGATGGATGGTTGAAGGAAGGATGAATAGAGGAAGGAAAAGTGGGTGGAGAAAGGATGTGTGGGTGGAGAAACAATGGGTTGATGGAGGAAAGATGGGTGGATGCAGGAAGAATGGGAGGTGGGATGGTGAAGGCTGAAGCCAGAACCCAGCCCTTCTGTGGTATCTTCAGACAGCCCTAGATGGGTCTTCTGCTGGTCAGCAAAGGTCCCCACCTGGAGGAAGCACTCAGCCCAGGTACTGGATGCCACAGCAGCCAGGCAGCAGTGCCAGGGGCTCTCCTGGGCCTGGAGTACCCAGACAAGCTGCAGAACCAGCAGGACGAGACACTGCCCCACCTGCCTGCTCCCTCCTCTCCCTGCAGCTGAGGTAGGGAATCTGTCCTTGCTCTGCACCCAAGGCCCTTTCACTCGGCCTGACTCCCCAGGGCACCCCACCCATGCACACCATGCCCAGGAGTAAGCCATCCATACTCTAATCCCACCCCACCCCTCCACACTCACACACCCCCTCCCCAGCTTCAGACCCAGCCTGCTTCTCCATTGGTTGTGTGTCTTTTGTAAATTCCTGGCCCTCTCCGGGCTTTAGTTTCCCTCTGTAAAATGGGCGCTACAGCAAATGGGTTGACCAAACCTACATCCAATAACTTACCTCACATTAAGATACCTCACATTAAAATAAAAGATACCTCACATTATCTTTCTGGCTTTCCTTGTTGTTCTGCATCCCCTCTCAAGTCCCCAGTCCTGCCTAGGGCACCTCCAGCCACTCCAGCCAGCCTTTCTGGGGCAGCAGTTTGGGGTTGTAGGCAGAGCAGCTCCCAGCTGCAGCTCTCAGCCTGCCAGCCCCCACCCAGCTCCTCTGCTGACTTATCTACTAATTACAGGTTGCAATATGCCAGCTGCCTCCCTGGCCCCAGGCGGGCGCCTCTCTATGGGGCAGGGGCTCCCTGGAAAGCCTCCCAGCCCTCCTCCAGCCTCACAGCCCCAGCTGTGCTGGGGTGGTCTCCATGGTGCTCAGACTCCCCGCCCCTGAAGAGGTGCACCTGCAAAGCCCTCCTCAGCTTCCCATCCCAGGCTCCTCCTCCCCAATCTAGAACTCCAGGGCTTCCACCCAGCTCTCGCCCTTGAGTGAATTCTCCAAGTGCTCCAGACCCTGCTGCCCAGACAGACCCTTGTGGTGGCCCTTCTGCCCCTGCCACTGACTCCCCAGCACCATCCATGCACCTGCCGCTGAGGTCCGGTGACCAGGTCAGACTCGATGCCAGACAGCTCCACAGGGACCTGGGGACATGCCTGTCTGCCCACAGCTGGACCTCCGAGCTCTGAGGACGGGACCTGTCTGTGGGAATCTGAGCCTCCCCCGAGGGAGGGGGAGTGTCTGTCATCGGGCTCAGCCTCCCCTTCTGTTGTGCCTTTCAGCTAATCCTCCTGACTGCCTGGAAGATGGACAATGGCAATGAGGAAACCGAGGCCCAGAGAAGGAAGGGATAGTTCCTAGGTGACCAGATCAGGATTCAGATCCAGATCAGGGGACTCCGAAGGCTGGGTGGTTTTAGCTACAGCCCCCAGCCCAGGTCTGAGCCTGGTCAGAGGAAGGCTGTAAACACCTTTAAGAGGGAGACGGGCAGGCATGGGAAGCCTGTGCTGAGGCAGCCCCCTCAGCCATCTCCAAGCTCTCTCAGCCTGGGCCGTCCTCCATCCTCTAACTCAGCCAGTGGCGGTTGGGAACCTGTTCTCTAGATCAGGAAACTGAAGCCCAGCAAGCAGAGTGGCTTATCCCGGGGCACCCAGCCTGTGTCCTGGGAGTCTCTAGATCCTTTGAATAGGATCATAATCCTTTGCTCCTTTGGCTCCTTCTCTAAAATAACTGAAGAGGATGTAGCCCACAGCAGTGTGCTTACCTAGTGTGCAAGGCCCTGAGTTCAATCTCTAGCAATAAAAATAAATAATTAAAATAACTGTAGAGAGAGCAGCCAAACAGATGTGGATTCACCTACATTATTAACTAAGCAAGAAGCTCTCAGCCTCAGTTTCCACACAAGTACTATGGGGATGTCCTAGGGGAAGTAGAAGGGAACTGTGTCAAGCCCTTGCACCAGGCTTAGCACCCAGCAGTGCTGTGGTTGGCCCAGCTTTGTCCAGGGGCCTCCGTCGGGTCTGAGTGGAGGACCAGCTGTCCAGGTGGGAAAGTCCCCTTGTCCCCACTGGGGCAGGATCCACTGATCCGGGATCTGCTGCTGCTGCAT